TTTTCCTTCGGAGCTGAGCAGGCATATTGATTTAGTGGACATAAGAAAAACCAAACTTGAAGTACTAAGTGGAATTACACCTATAGTTGTACCCTCAACTATTACAAATGATCTTATCACATGCATCCAATGCCCTTAATTTTTCTTGGACCAGAACCTATGCCCTTAATTAGAGAAACCATGCAGACCACAAAATAGCTTTGGTCACCACAAAAAAATTGCTGTTTTTCATACAAGCTTCTCTTTTGAAAAGGGCCTATGGAGAAGATTCTAAAAAACCTCTAAACTTTCTGTTTCCTCCTCATACATGATATCTCATCCTTTCTCCAATAAGATAATATAGCCAAAAACTCGGAAGAACCTTCGCCTCCCTAAAGAAGACAAGCTAATATTCTATATGTTTTAGAGAAAGAAAATCACGAGTGAATTACCATAGTAAACAGACCCAAAGCCTCCATTTCCCAATTCTCTTGAGTGATCGAAGTTATTTGTTGCTTTTTCAAGCTCCTTGTAAGAGAAGAGGGGTACCCCGAAGTAGGTTCTGCCTCTTTCTGGGTCTGCATTTGAGTAGGGATCAATTGTATTATTTCTTGTTAATTGCACCTGGACATCTGAAGATGAATATTTTCTTTGTAACACCGCCTTAGTAGCTGCCAACTTATCAAAATGCCTAGAAGTCCAATAAAAAAACCTGCAAGTGTGGAGTTCCACTTTTAGTATGATAGTTTTTAAATTGGGAGTAAGCAATGAAAAATCAATGAAGAATTAGTTGAGAGTGTGCATGTCATTAAAAGGATGAATGACTGACCAACTTTTGTATTTCCAATTCAACATCTTTTGGGAAAAAAGGGAGACCAAAAAAAGAAGAAGAAGAAGCATAGTTATGACAATCAGGAGAACAACATATACTGATCAGAATTAAACAACTAACAAAGCCATACAGAATAATACAAGACAACATTGTGCATTACCTAGCCCAAGTCCCAGTGCCAGCTTCCAAATTTTACTCTTATCAGGTGCAGCTGCAACCAAAAGAAGACACATATTTGACGTAAAAACCAAAAGGATCACAAAGTAAAGGACAGCATAGTTGAGAGCCAAAAACTTTAAGATGTCATTGGAGTTAGGCGAGGAAAGTAAGGAAAGGAGTCGCAAGAATTAGAGGGGAGCAGAAAAGCATAATCTCATAACTGAAGATCTCGAATTGTCCCATTAAGGAATAAGAATATCAAATATAAGATGAAGTTAGGCAAAAAAGATCAGCTTTTGCCATGGATTACAAAGAAAATCACTTAAAATTCGGAAGCAAGAAGTACATACTGGTAAGTTAAAGACACAAATAGTCAGAACCATGTCATGGAAAATATTAAATTAATTAGGTCATACTGGAACCTCTAAAAATATTCAGAACCCAAGGATTGTTTTCGGAGTGTACCTTTGATGCAGCAAAAGTTATTGTTTCTGTCAAGTTGACACTGGCCGCTGCTGTTGTGACTGACACTGATCACAAGCATCAGATATTCGTAGCTCCAGAGTCATTTGAGCAGATAAGAACGATTGAAGGTCACTGCTATCGGGCAGGTCTTTTTTTGGAAGCACAAGATTTGAACATGCTGAGAAATGGCTTTTTTGCTGAGGTTGAAGATGAGAGAGTAGGCGGTAATGATAGATATCGAAGTTTGCACAGGGATGTTTAATAAAACCAGAGGGGGTGCTGACATTGAGTTGGTGGTCGCATTTAAACAGGGTTATGTTGTATTTAATATCAAAAGAAATCAAAGGAGAGCTTGCAGGAATTGAGATATTGTTGTTGAAGGCTTCACAAGAACCATTGGATTGCAAACGATTGTGTAGATCCTGATCGAAAACCGTAATCATATTTGCGGCAGAAGGACACCGTTAAGCTGCAAGGATGATCTTGATCCATTCTTCTCTAGTTCAATCGGTTTATTTGAACATCACAGTTACGAACAACCATTAAGCCACAGTCCGGGAATTCTGGACTGGTGAAAGGGAACTGGAGGCTTCCAAGTTCTCTGCAATTAAAAGACCTAGGACACTTAACATGCCTCGCATTTCCATACTTAACTGACAGAAGTAAAAGGTGAGAAATCAAGAGGAAACGAAACTCAAAAACCAGAGCCATAATTCATTAACTTTTGAGCAAAACAATAAAGGCCTCCAACAAGAGCCTCATACACTAATTAAGCTTGGATTATATTTCCACCTTCTCCCCAGTATATAATCCCCAGTTCCCCCTTGAACTGTTTGATGGCGCAGGTTGACTTGGTAAATAACCATTCATTCAAGACTTTGTGAAAGAGACCTGAAAGAAAATAAGAGGTAGGTTAAGCTTTGTTAAAAGTTACGTTGATCATTCCACCAAAGAAGATGGGATAAAACTTTCCAGGTTGGCCTATTGAATCCTGGACCCTCCAAAAATCACACATTTTGAAAGCTGCGGTTCAAACAATTAATTCAAGATGTAACTTCTTTTCTTCCTTTATGGCTTTGTCAAACCGGCCAAAGGATGACAAAGATATTGCCACTGGATGTGGAACAACGAGGCCCAGTGCGTCTGGTATAGAAGTTGTGCCCGCATGGCCTTCTCTAACTCCAAAAAGAATCCGCTGAAAAGACCACACTACACAGACATGAAGTGGGTAAAAGGAGGACACGTGTCATGAATTTGTAGAAAGGAGAAATAAAACACAGAAGTAAAGAGATTAAATTATGTGAAGCAGCAACAAAGCCAGATCATATACTAGTATCTCATTGCTTGATATTTAGGTGATCATGATTCTAGTAGTAAGAGGGTTCACACAGTGAATTTAGTTGGCATGGAATGGGTCAAAGAGAAAACGCGTCCAAAGGTGTCCGCACATGACTATGGCAAGTCGTAAAATTCAAGATTGTGATATTTCAGAATCTTGCATCTCAGGCATAAGTTCAAACACCTTGTGTGCCCCAACCTATTAATGTGAAATTGACACCAGCAGACACTGCTGACGAACAAGGTTCAGTAAATTCCAAAGGCCTTGAAAAGATAAACATGGTTCTGAAAGCAGGAGAAAAAGTAAAAGCAATAAAACAATAAACCGAAGTGTGGAACGTACATGTTGAGTAGCTTTCTTCTTCCTCGATTGATCTCCCGGCATCTTCACTCTTACATGTCAGCAGCAGAATGACAAAAGAAAAGGAAAAAGCAGCAGGATGTCTGAAATCCGCCCACGACCGGGCGAGGGACCAAACAAGTGGCTGGGGATGATTGGATACCCCAAAATCACCTTAAAAAAAAAAAAAGGGTTTTGGTATGAATCAAGGCGAAATTAATCCCATTTTTAAAATCATGTTCAGCCAAACAGTCCTGCTCAGTTTGTTTTAAAAGGAAAATAATGACAATTTTTAGCTTAAAAAGGTCATGTTTAGATCGTTTAGACTTTTTGTTTGGCCCAAAAAAAACAGATCATTTAGACTTTTGAAAAAACAAATTATTTATTATACAGAGATTTTATAAAATGTAGAGAATTATTTTGTGTCCGATTATAATCACACAAAGAGATTATTGTTCAGTGATTTCAGATTTTATCATATCTTTATGTAGATTTACTAATAAAAAATTTATTACTATTTCTGATTTTTTTAATATAAAAACTCGATAACTAATTCTAAAATATTAAAATATTAATTAAATTAGTTAATATAGTATTCATTTGGTCATATTTATAGAGGAGAAAAAATAAGATTTTTCTTCATTCCTATTTATAAGTCACCTTATTAATTTTTTTAATATAAATTATTATTTTGTTCTTTGTTTATTATAATGAAGATAATTTAAAAAAAAGTATATATATTAAATATGAGTAAAATTAAAAAGTTGTTATATTTTCAAAAAGAGTTAATACAGTTTAATGTTCTTCTTAGTTTGTATAAAATGTATTGGAAGTGTTTTATAAATAGGATTAGAAGAGTATGTTTTTTCTGAAACACTCTAAACATCTTTTTTAGTTCCCTCCCTCCCTCTCATATTTGATTATTGTTGAGAGAATATTAATAGGATTAATTTTTTAAAAAAAATTGACAAGTATGTGAATATATAATATCAACATCAACTTCATAATTATGTCCTCCGTTAAAAACCGGAGGGGCAAATACGAATGGCCAAGATGTGAGATTCCCAACCCACCTAATCCGCAATCTGTTACCTAAGCCGCATTTCCAATTTCAGTAAGTACCTCGCTAAACAAATAAAATACTCCTCCGGTCGTTAATATAAGACCCAATTATTGAGTTAATTTTAGTCCTAAATATAAGACCTATTTCTCATATTTATCAATTTTCTCTAAATTACCCCTATGGATACTCCATCAACCATAATCAAGTAGAAAAAAAATATGAGGTATTAAGAAAGATGATTATGGTATTTTAGGAAAAACATCACATTTCTTATAATTAACTAACATACCTAACTTTCTTAATCTAATCAAATTAGTTAAATGAGTCTTATATTAAAGACTGGAGGAGTACTACTTTTGATCCTTAATACAAAAACTAGTTAATTAATTTGAGTTGATTAAAAAAATTAGCTAAGTTAGTTATAAGTGTTACCTTTCATAAAATATCATTACTAATCAAGTATATTGGTTGGACCACTATAAGGATTACTTTAAAAAATAAATAAATAAATATAAGAGATAAAATGAAGAGATAGTATGCAGATCCATAATACTCCTCCGGTCCTTAATATAGGACCCAATTATTGAGTTAGTTTTGATCCTAAATGTAAGACACATTTCTCATATTTATTAATTTTTCCTAAATTACCCCTATGGATACTCCCTCAACCATAATAAAGTAAAAGAGGAAGAGGGAGTATTAAGAAAGATGATTATGGTGTTTTAGGAAAAATGTGTTACTTTTCTTATAATTAACTAACTTACCTAACTTCCTTAATCTAATCAAATTAGTTAAATGGGTCTTATATTAAGGACCGGAAGAGTATTAAATTTGAATGAATTTTGCTCCATAAATTCATTGTGACTTGTGAGTGACACCCCAGAAATGCCCCCAAAAAAAATTTAACTTGCTCGCTTTTGAACACACATATATACTTCAAGGTCGAAAAAAAGAAAAAAACAAACAGACATATATACTCACCGTATTGGTATTATACAGAGAACAGAGAACCTATTATGAACACTTGCTCAAGCACTGACATTGGGCGTCGTAGTTTCGCTTACCCATTTATCAGCAACACTGTTGGGAGAATAAGGCGGTGGATTTGCGTTCTTCAACAAGCCAAGCTCATCCCATTTGGGTGATTCCGGTGGCAATCGTGGGTGCTCCTGTACCCGATCACTCCCACTTTGAATCCCCTCCAACATCTCCAGAACTTCCTCCATGGAAGGTCTCAATTCCTTATTAGTCTGTAAACACTGAAACGCCAACTGAGCCACCAATATCACCATCCTCTTCACCTCCCCATCACTCTCAAACCGAAGAGAAGGATCCACCAGCTCGCTCAGCTCACTCCTCTGAATCTTCCTCACTGCTAAGCTCGACAAGTTTATGGAGTCCGAGTCTCGGCTCATGTCGACCGCCTCCATGGATGTTATGAGCTCGATGAGCACAACTCCGAAGCTATAAACATCACTTTTGCTGGTGAGCTGATAGCAACTATGATATTCGGGATCGAGATAACCCGGCGTCCCTTGTGGAGCAGTGGAAACGTGAGTGACATTGTTGGGGAACAACCTTGAGAGTCCAAAATCTGCAACCTTAACATTGAATCCTTCGTCAAGGAGAATGTTGTTGGTTTTGATGTCGCGGTGAATGATTTCAGAGGCATGGAGGTAGACCAATGCTCTGGCGGTTTGGACAGCGATTTTCATGCGAGTGGACCATGGTAAAACTGTGGGCTTTTTGGGATCTCTGTGGAGGTGGAGGTGATGAGCGACGGTGCGGTTTGGGATGAACTCGTAGACGAGGAGGAGTTCCCGGCTGCGGCGGGAGGTGCAGCCATAGAGGGTGACAAGGTTTTTGTGGTGTAAACGAGTGAGGATCCTCACTTCATTCATGAACTGTTCTACTTGTTTGTAATTTTGCTCGTATAAGCGTTTTACAGCAACTTCTCGTCCGTCTTCAAGCTTACCTAATTGAAACAAACAAGTAATTGAATCACACTAAACAAGTAAAGTAGTATCAGAAGAACAATTAGTGGTTGTTAGATCCAGCAAAAAGGAACTAATTCCTTCGAATTTCCATCAGAATAAGTATTCATAGTTAGTGCTAGTGCCTGATCGTGTCTTAATGGCGAGCACTTAAAAAAAATAATATGGGAGGGAGGAAGGGTTACCGTAATAAACAGTGCCGAAGCCTCCATCTCCGAGCTCTGTGGAAGGGTCGAAATGGTTGGTGGCTGCTTCGAGCTCGGAATAAGAGAAAACAGGGATTCCGAAGTAGACATTGCTACTGTCTATGTGAGAATGAGTGGAGTATCTGCTTATTGAATCCGAATCGCCATATTTTCTTCTCCTCCACCACCACCACACAATCATCCCCATTGTTATCATCCCTGGGACTCCAATCCCTAAACCTGTATCAATACAACAATCCCCGATCAATATCAATATAACAGCACATATCCACACAAATCATACTATTTATGGGGATTCTTTCCTCGGACTCTGTATTTTCGTTGCAAGCAAGAAAGCTCTGTTAAAGGGGGGGGATAAGAGAGAGAATGAATTGCTTATCTTGGTATGTTTTGCAGCCATTGGGAGAAGTATGCCTCCTTCAATGGCAAACCAACCATAAAAAATGTAATGCCAATTTTGTTGTCCTGGGTGATTATATATTTTAACTATTTGTCTTCTTCTTTTTCTGAAAAGTTTATAAATTTCGAAAAATAAGCACTATTTTATATAAATATTTAAATGTCAATTTTTTTCTTAAGAGTATTAGACTTCTATTTTACACTGAAATAGTGCTCATAATTTTGAAGACTCAACTTGTATTCATGTCATTTGGCCATTTTGACTCCTTCATGTTCCTTTTTAATTACTTCATACCAAACTTGAATTGCACAAAATACACAGACATCTTATAATCCCACCTCTTTAATTTTTTTAAATTGAACTTGTTAAAAAATTCTCTACTCTTCTTTCCTCGATTTTCCGTATCTCACACAGATCGTAAAAGTGAGATTTTTATGTAAGCCTTGGTCTCTTACCATCTTCCTCTGCCCTTCTGTTTCTTCTAATAATGGCAGCATTCTATCAAACTTGACCTTAAACTAATGGAAAGTAAATTATAAGTTAGGAAGGAGGTAAATTACCTAATGCCAGTCCCAGCGTCAAAGTCCCTTTGTCTGCACCTGAAGTTAAATGAATCCATTAAGATGAACTGTTCATAAGTAAAAATATCAGTCTCCTATTATTCTTATGAACTAGTTTTGTACTTATCGCTTTGATGAGCACTCTAAACTCAGCACATTTGGATTATCCATATCATTTAGATGGTTTAGATTTGATTTTTTTTTATTTTTTTATTCAAAATAATTATTTTAATATATATAGAATCCAAAATAAAGATAATTTTTTAACTGTCATTCTTTCAAAAAATAGTTCTTTCTATTTAAAATAATTAATTAAAATTTTAAATGTAAACTATTCAAATCAGAGATATAAACAGTCTCAAATCTAATGAGTTTAGGGTACTCATCAAGATGATGAGTGCAAAAACTAGTTCCTCTTATTCTTATGGCTACAATCTTCAAACTGCTATAAAAAAATGTCAAATTTATCAATATCATCAACATTAATCCAATGTTCAATATATGCTCAATATAAAATATGAAGTTCATAACAAGTTGTTTTGTTTTGAAAATTATGCAGTTTGAATTCTTATACTAATCATCGGCAACAGTTTTAGACGGTGCTAATTTTTAAATCATTTTAATGCAACAAAAATAAAATTTAAAATATGGATCTTGCCAACCAGTGCCACTAAAACATGAATAGATAGATTTGTTGAAGTGAAAAATCTAATCACTCAAACTCTATGCCACGACATAGGAACACTACATGAATTTACAAATACTAATTAGAAAAAATCTACTCCGAATTTTTATTATAGAAACAGGCGTCATGTTTTATAATACGACAGGTTTGATTTAAAGTATTAATTTTTTCCCAATATCTATAACTAATTATAAAAATTTCTAACTAATTAACTAACTTCCTCTAATTAATGACTTCTGTTGAAAGTAATTTTAATATTTTAAAAAAATAATTAATTTTAATTTACTTTATTGATTTATGTAAAATTATTATTAAGTTTTATAAATCAAATATTATTCTAATGACACTCAGTTATTGGCCAGAAGTGCCAACAAGAAGCGTCTTTAATCAAACCCATCAGTGGTTTTAAATGGCAAAACGTCCCATTATAAAAACATCATTTCTTTTGGTCGTATATTCAGTTACACACATAACTCTACCAATAGTTGTTTTAAAGAATTTGATATAGTCTTTTTTAAAAATTATTGGTCGTATATCCACTTTTAAAAGAATCAACAATTGAATAATGATATACTTCCTATCCTAAATATAAGAGCTAGTTGACTAATTTGAGTAGATTAGAAAAACAAGTTAAATTAGTTATTTATAATAAATAGATATTGTCTTTCCTAAAATATTTTTGCTAATCAAGTTTATTAGTCAAAACTACCATTTTTAGAAGGACTATCTTGAAAATAAATAAATATGAGAGATAAAGTAGATTGGGATCTTATATTTAGGATCAAAATAACAATTAAAAAAACTCTTATATTAAAAATGGAGATAGTATTATCGTGGAAGTCAACAATTGACTATCCTCTTCTCAGTTTGAAAGGGTCAAAAGAGCCAACATATATTTAATCAATCATCCAATTGATTATGCAAAATTACCCACATCTTTTGTTGTCACAACATCAAGATATAACTGTTTAGCATTGACAATCGACACTTGTTTAAATAATAATAATAATAATAATAATAATAATGAGTAAAGACAAACAAAATATATAAGCATAGATAATTATAAGTAGGATTTAAAAGATGAAGCAAATTACGTCACCTAACAGCTAAACATGAATGTGAGTATCATTAAAATAATTTAAACTAATATTATTCCCATACTCAATCATAAATCTTACTATAATCTAAGCAAGTTGGCGCATATCATGATGAATTCAGATTTCAAAACTTGTGCTCTAAAATGTTCATGCAAGTTGCAAGACCCGTTGACCACAACTATTTATATAGAGTAGCATATTCCATGTTATTCTTTTCATGTCCTAATTTTTGTTTATCAATGGGAAATTTAAAATATTATGCGACGTGTGAAAAATTAAGGCTGCGTTTAAAAACTACTGTAGATCAAACCATTCAATTTTCAAATAACTAAAGCGCACAAGAATTTCTCAACACCATGCATGTTTCAATCTCCATGTTTCAGTTCCATGACACCGTCACCGTGCTTGACTGGCACGATGAACATTTTCCCTCTGCATGCATGTTTCTTCAACATAAATTCTGCTTAAAAAGGAAAATGACAAGAAAAAAAGATGAAAATTACTAAATTTCAAATCAGGTTGATAATAACATTTTATTAGTGTTAACAAGACTAAATTTATAAATGACAATAAATTTTTGTTAACGTTTCTTATTTAGCATCTAGTAATTTTCACTTTTTTTTGTCATTTTCACTGCTTAAAAACCAAAAAATAAAATAAAATAACTTTAAAAAAAAAAAAAACACTACAAGCGTTTCATCATTATCATCAATGGCATCGTATTGACGGTGGATGCTCTCCATTTGCAGTACTCTCCGTTTATCTCCATTTTAACTTGTAACAATTGTGAATGTGTTCTTTTCTTCTTAAACCACGAACGTTCAACCCCAACCCAAATCACATTTTTATTTCCTAGTCACCCACTTCCATTGGTTTTTGAATTCGAGGGAGGGATTAGTTCAACCGATTCTCCCTCATATTCAGACTGATGAACACTGAACTGATTCTAGCTAGGTTCAACAGGTCGAACCAACCATTAAGTCTAGTTCTCAAATCACTCCAAAAGTTCCTATCTATCTTTGGATTGCTGGTATTTGGTTGGATTTCAGCATCTAATGGGATAAAAATGTCTAATGCCTTTTCATTTGGGATCACAATACTAGTTGAATGCTATGATTGAGCAAGAAAGAACTGTACTGATAAATCGAAAACAAACACTACTAAATGTTGCAAGATCAAAGGTTTTTCATCAACTAAATGCAGCAATGAGCATTGAAGACAAATAAATGGTAGGGAAGGAAGAAACAGAGAGAGGAAAAGAGGCAAACCAGGACGACATCTGCGAAAATGGTCGCGGTCGCGGCAGAAGCACCGGAATTCAAACGCATCTCCGTAGAGCAAGCCACACCTCCCTCCACTTGTCTGGCATGCCTCGCACTGACTCGCAGTCCAATTCTTTGGCTTTAACCACAATCCTCTTCCCAAAGCCTCTCTTATCCCTTCTTCCACATTCTCCACCGCCATCCTCATCGTCGGCCCACCCCTGCAATTATCCTTCGCATACTTCAACTTCTTATCTGCGTCATCCACCGCCATGCCCAGCACCGACCTCGTTCTGTTCCCTTCAGAACACCCCAATACGTTTTGTTTCATCTCCTCCGGCAGCGACGGCAAGTCGCAATCGAAGAACAGCAGCACCTCCTCCTGGTTCGGAGCCACAGCGTATCTGAAGTCGAGAGTGAGGTTGTCGGAGGGAGAGAGACATTTGGTGGAATTGGAGATTAGGAAGTTAGGATTGAAGACTCGGAGAGAGAGATTATGGTAGGAAATTTCATCGACTATGTAGAAAGTATTGGAGAGATTGAGCGTTGGGAAGCCATTGGAAGCACAGAGAAGGCCGAAACCAGGGAATCCGCACAAGCTCTTTTGGTTACCTCCGATATGGAAGGGGTAGGTTATGGTTGGGCCGTTCCCACAGGATTGGGGCTCGCAAGCTTGGAAGTGGGGATTCACATAACAGAGGGTGGTTCTGATTAGAACAGAGAAGAGGATGATGAAGAAGAGAACCGTTGGGTTCATTAGGGATTTGGGAATATTGAGAGGGAATGAATGAGGAGGGGGGCAAAGAAGAAGAGAGATGAGGATGGAATGATAAAGATAAAGAAGATGGGCAAAAGAGAAAGGGAAAATTACACTCAGGTTCCACAGAGCATAATTAATATCAAAAAGGTCCCACGAAATCGCGAAATGATTCTGAAGTCCCCAGGGACCTGTGTGTAATTAATTCCAATTGTAAAATTACCTACTTACCCCTGTTAATTTTATTGCAACAATTCGTTTACAATCTCAGCAGTGGCTGTTAACAACCCGAGAAGACGTGATTGACAACCTCGGCAGTGTTCATGACAACTCACTCTATGGAATGTCAGGGGCGTTGTTGAGGTTGTTAACTACCTCTTCTCGAGTTGTTAACAGCCACTGTTGATGTTATAAATAGGTTCTAATTTTATTGCAACAATTCGTTTACAATCTCAACAGTGTCTGTTAACAACCCGAGAAGACGTGAGTGACAACCTTGACAGTGCTCATGACAACTCATTCTGTGGAATGCCAGTGGCGTTGTTGAGGTTGTTAACCACCTCTTCTCGGGTTGTTAACAGCCACTGTTGAGATTGTAAATAGGTTCAAATTAATAGGGGTAACTACGTAATTTCACAATTCGAATTAATTACACACAGGTCCCTGGGGACTTCAGAATTATTTCGCGATTTTGAGGGACCTTTTTTATATTAATTGTGTTCTGTGGGACCTGAGTGTAATTTTCCCAAAGAGAAATCACGTTGATGATAGCGGGGGGTTTGACCTCTGAATTAAAGTCTTGGGCTCTGATCTGACATCTTTGTGCACTAACAGCGATTTGTGATTGGTGCGTTGACTGTGTTTGCCGTTACCGCCTCATAACTCATAAGTCGAACCTCTTTTAAAAAAATCCTGAATTAAAAAAAAAAACCGTTGCCTAACTAATTTAAGTATATTAAAAAAATTTTGTTAAATTAATTATTTATAATAAATATATATTATCTTGCTAAAATAATTAAAACTGTTTAACATGTGTAACTATTATAATGATTATTTAAAAAAATAAATATGAGAGACAAAATAGATTAAAGTCTTATATTTAAAACTAAAACAAAAATAAAAATAGCTGTCATGAGGACTAGGTATTATCTAGCAAGTTAGTGAAATGAAATCCAGTAGAAACAGGAAATCCGGGCTCGGAGAGATCAGCTAAGACTTCATTAATTATTCAATTTTAGGGTCGTGTTAGGAATATCAATCTCTTTTTGAGCTAAATTCTTAATAATTATATTTGAATTTGGGGGGAGGGGGACAAAAAGAAGTTGTTACCAGCTCAAGCTTTTAGAAGAAATTCACGATGAAATTAAACATCAATACTTACATGTTATGAAGTTAATCTAAGATATATGACATGATTAGTTAAATAGATCTTATATTAAGAACCGAAGGAGTAAATTGTATCATCGCGGAACATGTTGTTCCTTCACCACTCATTCTTGCACAAAGATTTTTGGTCATACATATGAGCCTGGAAACACTCCTTCTTAACAATGAGGCATTATAAGGGGGCCATGGTTAGAATATAAATATTTGTAAATAATGAAACCAAACCTAAGATATATATATTTTAATATTGACACGCTATCTTTCCAATTCTAAATGTATGATCTGTTAGTTGTTTTTTTTTTTCCCATTCTGGAAAGTTGTTACAGGAAGCAAGTTAAGTCGGCAAAAAGTTGAAAAATGCGCATGGATCATTCAACGTACGTTGGCAAAATCCCATCCCCACTTCTTTTTTTCCTGAACTCTTTTTCTATTTCCCTGAAAATATATCCCCTTTTTCCCCACTTCACTTGCTTTTCGGAATTTTCTTTTTTTTGGCCTGAAAACTTGCTTTTCGGCTTTCAGTGGACAAAATTGAAAACGTGCAACAACCCAAAAAAAAAAAAAGTTCTCCGCGTGTTTCTTCTCTTTTTTTTTTTCCTTTTTTAAACCTCTTACAAGTAGATGATTTGATGCCCCAAATCAATCAAATAAATTTAAAAGATAGACTATACTAGTAATCAGCAATGAATTAGTAAATGAAAATATGATCACCACAAAAACAAAGAAGAGTTATATTAAAGCGCCAAACGGAGATATTAATTATTAAAATAATATCAAATTTATCACTTATTTACTCATAACATTATAAAATAATAAGCATTTACTATTCACCCAAGGCATTTTTATAATTTAAAATGTTTTTATTGAAATGGCACAAATTTATGAGTGAATTAAAGTAAGAAATATTTAATCCTTAAAAGTGATACTCCCCATAAAAAATGAGAATATTATTAGGCCTAAATAAATATAATTATGTGAGAACATAATTTTAAATTGAGTGACGGAAAGCAAGAAGCTGGCCGGGCAGGGGGGCACGGCGAAATGCGGGTGAGACCAAAGAAATGCCCATAAATTCATATGATTAAATTTGAATGAATTTTGCTCCATAAATTCATTGTGAGTGACATCCCAGAAATGCCCAAAGAAAAAAAATTTTACTTGCTCGCTTTTGAGCACATATATACTCCAAGGACAAAAAGAAAAAATTACACACACATACTCGCAGTATTAGTATTATACAGAGAACAGAGAACCTATTATGAACACTTGCTCAAGCACTGACATTGGGCGTCGTGGTTTCGCTTCCCCATTTATCAGCAACACTGTTGGGAGAATAAGGCGGTGGATTTGCGTTCTTCAACAACCCAACCTCATCCCATTTTGCTGATTCCGGTGGCAATCGTGGGTGCTCCTGTACCCGATCACTCCCACTTTGAATCCTCTCCAACATCTCCAGAGCTTCCTCCATGGAAGGTCTCAATTCCTTATTAGTCTGTAAACACTGAAACGCCAACTGAGCCACCAATATCACCATCCTCTTCACCCCCCCATCACTCTCAAACCCAAGAGAAGGATCCACCAGCTCGCTCAGCTCACTCCTCTGAATCTTCCTCACTGCTAAGCTCGACAAGTTTATGGAGTCCGAGTCCCGGCTCATGTCGATCGCCTCCATGGATGTTATGAGCTCAATGAGCACAACTCCAAAGCTATAAACATCACTTTTGCTGGTGAGCTGATAGCAACTATGATATTCGGGATCGAGATACCCCGGTGTCCCTTGTGGAGCAGTGGAAACGTGAGTGACATTGTTGGGGAACAACCTTGAGAGTCCAAAATCGGCAACCTTAACATTGAATCCTTCGTCGAGGAGAATGTTGTTGGTTTTGATGTCACGGTGAATGATTTCAGAGGCATGGAGGTAGACCAGTGCTCTGGCGGTTTGGACAGCGATTTTCATGCGAGTGGACCATGGTAAAACGGTGGGCTTTTTGGGATCTCTGTGGAGGTGGAGGTGATGAGCGACGGTGCGGTTTGGGATGAACTCGTAGACGAGGAGGAGTTCCTGGCTGCGGCGGGAGGTGCAGCCATAGAGGGTGACAAGGTTTTTGTGGTGTAAACGAGTGAGGATCCTCACTTCATTCATGAACTGTTCTACTTGTTTGTAGTTTTGCTCGTATAAGCGTTTTACAGCAACTTCTCGCCCGTCTTCAAGCTTACCTAATTGACACACACAAGTAACTAAATCTAACTAAACAAGCAAAGTAGCATTAGAAGAACCATTAGTGGTTGTTGGTTCTAGCAAAAAGGAACTAATTCCTTCGAATGTCCATCAGAATAAGTATTCCTGATTGTGTCTTAATGGTGAGGACTTAAAAAAATAATATGGGAGGGAGGGAGAGTTACCATAATAAACAGTGCCGAAGCCTCCATCTCCGAGTTCTGTGGAAGGGTCGAAATGGTTGGTGGCTGCTTCGAGCTCGGAATACGAGAAAACAGGGATTCCGAAGTAGACATTGCTACCGTCTATGTGAGAATGAGTGGCGTATCTGCTTATTGAATCCGAATCGCCATATTTTCTCCTCCTCCACCACCACCACGCAATCATCCCCATTGTTATCACCCCAGGGACTCCAATCCCTAAACCTGTATCAATACACCTACCCCTGATCAATGTCAATATAACAACATATATACACACAAATCATACTATTTATGGGGATTCTTTCCTCGGACTCTCTGTATTTTCGTTGCAAGCAAGAAAGCTCTGTTATGTTACTCAGAAAGGAAAGCTATGTTATGAAGGAGCTCACGAAAGAAGGACAAGCATTTAAGCTTTAAAGCCATGTTCATGGCTTCGTATGGATAAGAGGTATTAAAAAAAAAACAAAGAAAAAACGAAAAAGATGGAGAAAGAATTGCTTGTCTTGGTATATTTTGCACCCACTGGGAGAAGCATGCCTCCTTCAATTGGGCCAACGAAAATTACTTGCATACTAGTAGACAAACAAACAAAAATATGTAATGCTAATTTTGTTGTCCTGAGTGATTGTATATTTTAATTATTTTTCTTCTTTTTTCTGAAAAAATTATAAATTTTTAAAAATAAACACTATTTTATATAAATACTTAAATGTCAATTTTTTCTCAAGAGTATTAGACATCTATTTTGCACTGAAATAGTGCTCATAATTTTGAAGACTCAACTTGTATTCATGTCATTTGGCCATCTTGACTCCTTCATGTTCCTTTTTAATTACTTCATACCAAACTTGAATTGCACAAAATACACAGACATCTTGTAATCCCACCTCTTCAATTTTTCAAATCGAACTTGTTAAAAAATTCTCTACTCTTCTTTCCTCGATTTTCCTCATATCACACAGATCGTAAAAGTGAAATTTTTATGTAAGCCTTGGTCTCTTACCATCTTCCTCTGCCCTTCTGTTTCTACTAATAATGGCAGCATTGTATCAAAGTTGACCTTAAACTAATGGAAAGTAAATTATAAGTTAGGAAGGAGGTAAATTACCTAATGCCAGTCTCAGCTTCAAAGTCCCTTTTTCTGCACCTGAAGTTAAATGAATCCATTAAGATGAACTGTTCATAAATAAAAATATCAACCTCCTATTATTCTTATGAACCAGTTTTGATGCTTATCACTTTGATGAGCACTCTAAACTCATCGCATGTGAATTATCCATATTTTATTTGGATAGTCTAAATTTGATTTCTTTTTTTACTTTTATTTATTTAAAATAATTATTTTAATATGTATAGAATCTAAAATAAAGATAATCTTTTAACTATCATTCTTTCAAAAAAATAGTTTTTCCTATTTAAAATAATTAATTAAAAATTTTAAATATAAACTATTCAAATCAGATATAGACGGTCTCAAATCTAATGAGTTTAGGGTACTTATCAAGGTAACAAGTACAAAAACTAGTTCTTCTTATTCTTATAGCTACAATCTTCAAACTGCCATCAAAAAAATGTCAAATTTATCAATATCATCAACATTAATCCAATGTTTGCTCAATATAAAACATGAAGTTCATAACAAGTTGTTTTGTTTTGAGAATTATGCAGTTTGAATTCTTATACTAATCATCGGCAACAGTTTTAGACGGTGCTAATTTTTTAAATATTTTAATGCAACAAAAATAAAATTTAAAATATGGATCTTGCCAACCAGTGCCACTAATTAGATTGAGTGATTAGATTTTTCACTTCAACAAATCTACTCCGAATTTTTATTATAAAAAACCCGCGTCATGTTTTATAGTATAACAGGTTTTATTTGAAGTATTAATTTTTTTTACCTGATATCTATAACTAATTAACTAAGTTCCTCTAATTAACGACTTTTATTGAAAGTAATTTTAATATCTTAAAAAAATAATTAATTTTAATTTACTTTATTGACTTATGTGAAATTATTATTAAGTTTTATAAATCAAATATAATTTTAATGACACTCAGTGCCAAGAAGTGCCAACAAGAAGCGTCCTTAATTAAACTCATCAGTGGTTTTAAATGGCAAAACGTCCCGTTATATAAAAGCATAATTTAAAATTCTCTTTTGGATTATCTAACTTTATTATAATTTTTTTTTTTGGTCGTATATCCGCTTCCACACATATCTCTACCAATAGTTTTTTATTACTTTCAAAAGAATCAACAGCCGAATAATGATATACTGTATTAACGTAGAAGTCAACAATTGATTGTCCTCTCTTTAGTTTGAAAGGGTCAAAAGAGCCAACATATATTTACTCAATCATCCAATTGATTATGCAAAATTACCCACATCCTTTATTGTCACAACATCAAGATATAACTGTTTAATATTGACAATCGAAACTTGTTTAAATAGTACTACCTTCAGTTCTTAATCTAAAATCTTATTTGATTTTTATTTTGATTCTAAATATAAAATCCTGCTCCACTTTGTCTTTCACATTTATATATATATTTTTTTAAGATAGTCCCTCTAATAATGATAGTGCTAGCCAATATAGTTTATTAGTAAGGATATTTTAGGAAAAACAACACATATTTATTACAAATAACTAATTTAACTTATTTCCTTAATCTCCTTAAATTAGTCAACTATATCTTATAATTAAAACTGGAAATAGAAATAAAAATATGAGTAACAACAAAAATATATATATAAGCACAGATAATTATAAGTAGGATTTGAAAGATGAAGCAAATTACGTCACCTAACAGCTAAACATGAATGTGAGTATCATTAAAATAATTTAAACTAATATTATTCCTATACTCAAGCATAAATCTTACAATAATCTAAGCAAGTTGGCACATATCATGATGAATTCAGATTTCAAAACTTGTGCTCTAAAATGTTCATGCAAGTTGCAAGACCCGTTGACCACACCTATTTATATAGCATATTCCATGTTATTCTTTTCATGTCCTAATTTTTTTTTTTATCAAGGGAAAATTTAAAATATTATGAGACGTGTGAAAAATTAAGGCTGTTTAAAAACTACTGTAGATCAAACCATTCAATTTTCAAATAACTAAAGCACACAAGAGTTTCTCAACACCATGCGTGTTTCAATCTCTATGTTTCAGTTCCATGACACCGTCACCGTTCTTGACTGGCACAATGAACATTTTCCCTCTGCATGCATGTTTCTTCAACATAAATGATGCTTAAAAGCATAGAATAAAAAACTGAACCGAACTGGTCAGTTCAACCGAAAAACCGGTAAACCAGCCAGTGGTTCGGTTTGGTTTAGATATTGAACCAGTCAATAGTTGAACCAGTATCGAAAAGGTTAAACTGATGTGAACCCGTGAAAATCATTGATGAATGACTTTGAATGATTATGTTACTATTAATCTTATTTTTTCTTAATTAGTTCCTAATATCTTAGTCACTATAAATTTGAATGAATTTTAGTGATAATTTTGGTATCAATAATTATTAATTTGATTTATTTGATGAATTGTAAATATCAAAATTCTTAATATTATTATACTTTGTTATTATTACAATAAAATTATTGTTATATTTTGTTGTATTTTGTTATTAGTGATTATTAATGTTGTTGTATTTTTTTATTTTCAATTAAATTATTTTATTTTAATATGACCAGTTTGATCCTGATTTAACCTTGGTCTGATTAATTGACTCTTGAACCACTACCTCAATCTATTTAATATCCGATTCGGTTTTTTATTCCTTGCTTAAAAGGAAATTAAAAATGACAAGAAAAGAAGTTAAAAATTACTAAATCCCAAATCAAATTTGATAACAATACTTTATTAGGTGTTAACAATATTGAATTTACAAATAACAATAAATTTTTGTTACCATTCTCTATTTGGCCTTTAATAATTTCTACCCCTTTTTTTTCTCATTTTATCTGCTGAAAAACCAAAATAAAATAAAATAAAATAATTAAAAAAAACATTACAAGCAATTTATCATTATCATTAATGGCATCATATAGACGGTGGATGCTGTCCATTTGCAATACTCTCTGTTTATCTCTATTTTAACTTGTAACAATTGTGAATGTGTTCTTTTCTTCTTAAATCACGAACACTCAACCCCGACCCACATCACCTTTTTATTTCCTAGTTACCCACTTCTATTGGTTTTTAATTCGAGGAAGGGATTAGTTCAACCGATTCCCCCTTATATTCAGACTGATGAACACTGAACTGATTCTAGCTAGGTTCAATTGAGTCTAGTTCTCAAATCACTCCAAAAGTTCCTATCTATCGTTGGATTGCTGGTGTTTGGTTGGATTTCAACATCTATTGGGATAAAAATGTCTAATGCTTTTTCATTTGGGATCACAATACTAGTTGTATGCTATGATTGAGCAAGAAAGAACTGTACTGATAAATCAAAAACAAACACTACTACATGTTGTAAGATCAAAGGCTTTTCATCAACTAAGTGCAGCAACGAGCATTGAAGACAAATAAATGGTAGCGAAGGAAGAAACAGAGAGAGGGAAAGAGGCAAACCATGACGACAACTGCGAAAATGGTCGCCGTCGCGGCAGAAGCACTTGAAGTCAAACGCATCTCTGTAGAGGAAGCCACACCTTCCTCCACTGCTCTGGCATGCCTCGCACTTACTCGCCGTCCAATTCGTTGGCTTCAACAACAATCCTCTTCCCAGAGCCTCTCTTATCCCTCCTTCCACATTGCCCACCACCGTCCTCGTCGTCGGCCCACCCCTGCAATTATCCTTCGCATACTTCAACTTCTTAGCTGCGTCATCCACCGCCATGCCCAGCACCGACCTCGCTCTGTTCCCCTCAGAACACCCCAATACGTTTTGTTTCATCTCCTCCGGCAGCGACGGCAAGTCGCAATCGAAGAACAGAAGCACCTCCTTCTGGTTCGGAGCCACAGCGTATCTGAAGTCGAGAGTGAGGTTGTCGGAGGGAGAGAGACATGTGGTGAAATTGGAGATTCGGAAGTTTGGATTGAAGACTCGGAGAGAGAGATTGGGGTAGGAAATTTCATCGACTATGTAGAAAGTATTGGAGAGATTGAGCGCTGGGAAGCCATTGGAAGCACAGAGAAGGTCGAAACCAGGGAACCCGCAGAAGCTATCTTGTTTATCTTTGATACGGAAGGGGTAGATTATACTTGGGCCGTTCCCACAGGTTTGGGGCTCGCAAGCTTGGAAGTTGGGATTCACATAACAGAGGGTGGTTCTGGTTAGAACAGAGAAGAAGAGGATGAAGAAGAGAACCGTTGGGTTCATTAGGGATTTGGGAATATTGAGAGGGAATGAAGGAGGAGGAGGGCGAAGAAGAAGAGTGACGAGGGAACGATAAAGATGAAGAAGATGGGCAAAAGGGAAATCATGGTGATGGTAGCGGGGGGTATGACCTGTGAATGAAAGTCTTGGGCTCTGATCTGACATCTTCGTGCGCTAACAGCGATTTGTGATTGGTGTGTTGACTGCGTTCGCCGTTACTGCCTCATAAGTTGAACCCGTCGGAAAATTTTTTTTTTAAAAAAAATCCTGAATCAAAAACTTTTTTTAAAAAAAAAAACTATTACCTCTGATCTTTTATATAAAACTAGTTAACTAATTTAAATATATTAAAAAAATTTAAATTAATTATTTGTAATTATTATATATTATGTTTTCTAAAATAGTTAGAACTGTGTAACATATATAACTATTATAATGATTATTTTAAAAAAATAAAATAAATATGAGAAACAAAATACATTGAGATTTTATATTTAAAATTAAATTAAAAATAAAAATAGCTTTCATACTGAGTACCGAGTATTATCTAGCAGGTTAGTGAAATGAAATCCAGTAGAAACAAGAAATTCAGGCTCGGTAAGATCAGTTAAGACTTCATTAATTATTCAATTTTAGGGTCATGTTAGAAATATCAATCTCTTTTTGACCAGGATCAATCTCTTTTTGACCGGGAGAATATCAATCTCTTTAATATTAGAGCTAGATTCTTAATGATTATATTTGATTTTTTTTTGTGGGGGACAAAAAGAAGTTGTTACTAGCTCAAGCTTTTAGAACAAACTAGAGATTTCTTCCCGTACGATGCACGGATCAAAATATTTGATTAAATTTTAAATGATAATAAATTGTATTATTTAAGGCAGTTCAAAATTATATTCACTTTTTATAGAAGTGTAATTTTTTTTATTCATTTAAATGAGATTTGAATTAGAAATTCAAAAATTAAGAAGACAATATAAAAATTTAAAATTATTTATTTATTTCTCTATTTAAGCCCAATTGACATACTATTTAATTATGATATTTTCTATTTAATTCAATATATTCAAATCCCAATTAAGATATTATTCAAACTTATAATTAATTATTAATTCCTTCATTTGACCCTCAAATTGAAATCTCATTTAATAATAATACTCCTCATTTAATTCAATATACATAAATCTCAATCAAAGTATTATTGAAATCTCATCAATTAAATATACTTGGATGTCTTAATGTTATATCCGACCCGTTTTTAAAAAGAATTAAGTATTACAAGTTTTCAAGAATATAATTGATAATTGATTGATGATTCACGATGAAATTAAATATCCATACTTACATGTTATGAAGTTAATCTAAGATATATGACATGATTAAAACTGAAGTTTCTATAAGATATGACATGATATAAAGCAAGAAATGGCATAAAACGAAGTAACAAAATAGATTGTATCATCGTGGAACATGTTGTTCCTTCACCGCTCATACTTGCACAAAGATTCTTGGTCATACATACGATGAGTCTGGAAACACTCCTTTTTAACAATGAAGCATTATCAAGAGGGCCATGGTTAGAATATAAATATTTGTAAACAATGAAATCAAACGTAAGATTGTATATATTTTAATATTGACACGCTATCTTTCTAATCCTAAATACTACCTCCAGTCCTAATTACAAAAACTAGTTTACTATTTTAAAAAAATTAAAAAAAAGAAATTAAACTAGTTATTTATAATAAATAGGTATTGTCTTTTCTAAAATATTCTTACTAATTAAATGTGTTGGTTAGGATTATTATTATTAAAATGACTATCCTGAAAAAATATATATAAATATGAGAGACAAAATAAATTGGGATCTTATATTTAGGACTAAAATAAAAATTAAATAAGATCTTATATTAAAGAATGGAGGCAATATATGATTTATTAGTTTCTTTCTTCTTCTTTTTTTTTTCCATTCTGGAAAGTTGTCACAGGAAGCAGGCCAAGTCGGCAAAAAGTTGAAAGATGCGCATGGATCATTCAACGTACGTTGGCAAAATCCCATCCCCACTTCTTTTTTGCCTGAACTCTGTCTATTTCCCTGAAAATATATCCCCTTTTTCCCCACTTCACTTGCTTTTCGGATTTTTTTTTGGCCTGAAAACTTCCTTTTCGGCTTTCAGTGGACAAAATTGAAAACGTGCAACAACCCAAAAAAAAAAAGAAGAAGAGTTCTCAGCGTGTTTTTTCTTTTGTTTTTTTTTAACCTCTTACAAGTAGATGATTTGATGCCCCAAATCAATTAGATAAATTTAAAAGATAGACTATAATCAGCAATGATTCAGTAAATGAAAATATGATCACCACAAAACCAAAGAAGAGTTATATTAAAGCGCCAAACCGAGATATTAATTATTAAAATAATGTTTTTATTGAAATGGCACAAATTTATGAGTGAACTAAAGTAATAAATATTTAATCCTTAAAAGTGATACTCCCAATAAACAATGAGAATATTATTAGGCCTACATAAATAATTATGTGAGAACATAATTTTAAATTGAGTAACGGAAAGCAAGAAGCTCGCCGGGCAGTCGGACCCGCGAAATGCGGGTGAGACCAAAGAAATGCCCAAAGAAAAAAAATGCCCAAAGAAACAAAATTTAACTTGCTCGCCTTTGAACACATATATACCCCAAGGAAATACACACACACATATACTCACAGTATTGGTATCATACAGAGAACAGAGAACCTATTATGAACACTTGCTCAAGCACTGACATAGGGCGTCGTAGCTTCGCTTGCCCATTTATCAACAACACTGTTGGGAGAATAAGGCGGTGGATTTGCGTTCTTCAACAACCTCACCTCATCCCATTTGGGTGATTCCGGTGGCAATCGTGGGTGCTCCTGTACCCGATCACTCCCACTTTGAATCCTCTCCAACATCTCCAGAACTTCCTCCATGGAAGGTCTCAGTTCCTTATTAGTCTGTAAACACTGAAAAGCCACCTGAGCCACCAATATTACCATCCTCTTCACCTCCCCATCACGCTCAAACCCAAGAGAAGGATCCACCAGCTCGCTCAGCTCACTCCTCTGAATCTTCCTCACTGCTAAGCTCGACAAGTTTATGGAGTCCGAGTCCCGGCTCATGTCGACCGCCTCCATGGATGTTATGAGCTCGATGAGCACAACTCCGAAGCTATAAACATCACTTTTGCTGGTAAGCTGATAGCAACTATGATATTCGGGATCGAGATAACCCGGCGTCCCTTGTGGAGCAGTGGAAACGTGAGTGACATTGTTGGGGAACAACCTTGAGAGTCCAAAATCGGCAACCTTAACATTGAATCCTTCGTCAAGGAGAATGTTGTTGGTTTTGATGTCGCGGTGAATGATGTCAGAGGCATGGAGGTAGACCAATGCTCTGGCGGTTTGGACAGCGATTTTCATGCGAGTGGACCATGGTAAAGCGGTGGGCTTTTTGGGATCTCTGTGGAGGTGGAGGTGATGAGCGACGGTGCGGTTTGGGATGAACTCGTAGACGAGGAGGAGTTCCCGGCTGCGGCGGGAGGTGCAGCCATAGAGGGTGACAAGGTTTTTGTGGTGTAAACGAGTGAGGATCCTCACTTCATTCATGAACTGTTCTACTTGTTTGTAGTTTTGCTCGTATAAGCGTTTTACAGCAACTTCTCGCCCGTCTTCAAGCTTACCTAATTGACACACACAAGTAACTAAATCAAACTAAACAAGTAAAGTAGCATTAGAAGAACCATTAGTGGTTGTTTGTTCTAGCAAAAAGGAACTAATTCCTTCGAATGTCCATCAGAATAAGTATTCCTGATTGTGTCTTAATGGTGAGGACTTAAAAAAATAATATGGGAGGGAGGGAGAGTTACCGTAATAAACAGTGCCAAAGCCTCCATCTCCGAGCTCTGTGGAAGGATCGAAATGGTCGGTGGCTGCTTCGAGCTCGGAATAGGAGAAAACAGGGATTCCGAAGTAGACATTGCTACCGTCTATGTGAGAATGAGTGGCGTATCTGCTTATTGAATCCGAATCGCCATATTTTCTCCTCCTCCACCACCACCACGCAATCATCCCCATTGTTATCATCCCTGGGACTCCAATCCCTAAACCTGTACCAAAACAACAATCCCTGATCAATATCAATATAACAACATATATCCACACAAATCATACTATTTATGGGGATTCTTTCCTCAGACTCTCTGTATTTTCGTTGTAAGCAAGAAAGCTCTGTTATGTTTCTCAGAAAGGAAAACTGTGTGATGAAGGAGCTCATGGAAGAAGGATAAGCATTTAAGCTTTAAAACCGTGTTCATTGTTGGGCATGGATAAGAGGTGTGTTTTTTTTTTTGGGGGGGGGGGGGGGTATAAGATAGAGAATGAATTGCTTATCTTGGTATGTTTTGCAGCCATTGGGAGAAGCATGCCTCCTTCAATGGTAAACAAACCCAAGAAAAAAAAAATGTAATGCCAATTTTGTTGTCCTGAGTGATTATATATTTTAATTATTTTTCTTCTTCTTTTTCTGAAAAGTTTATAAATTTTGAAAAATAAGCACTATTTTATATAAATATTTAAATGTCAATTTTTGTCTTAAGAGTATTAGACTTCTATTTTACACTGAAATAGTGCTCATAATTTTGAAGACTCAACTTGTATTCATGTCATTTGGCCATTTTCACCCCTTGATTTTCTTTTTTAATTACTTCAAACTCGAACTGCACAAAATACACGGACACCTCATAATCCCCCTTCTTCAGTTTTTTAAATCGAACTTGTTAAAAAATTTTCTCCACTCTTCTTTCCTCCATTTTCCTTATATCACAGATCGTAAAAGTGAGATTTTTATGCAAGCCTTGGAGGTGTTTAGATGAAACCAAACCATGGTTTGGAAAATAACTTCTGGAAAATAGATTCTGAGGAGAATAGATTTTGTGAAGAATATATTTTGTAAAAAAATGATTTTAAAAAGTGAAAGTATTTGGATAGTTGTTATCAGAAGCACTTTTTATAGATACAAATTACTAAAAAACATAAGTTAATATGATAATTACATAAAAGATATATTTTATGATATATTTTAATTTGAAGGAATAAAATTGTTAATAATATATTTTTAACCAACATAATTAATA